TTCAATTGAAACTAGTGATTGGAAAACAACCTAATAAATGATCTTTTGGGCTTTGAAAAAGAATAATTTTTTTTCAATGTTTTACTTCAAAAAGAAGGTTTCCAACTTGCTGATAGGGGTCTACACAAATATCTGACCTTACCTGGTAGATCTTCAAATCACTGAAGATACTGACTTTTTTCTGACATATGGAAAACTTCCATGGGAAGAGTATCTCTCCCCTCCTTTAGAGAGAGCTACAATATATGTCAGCAATCACATTTCCCTCCTTCTCCAGTTTCAGATTTGTTCATAGTTCACTGTAAATAGCCTGGTGTTTATCATACTTCTCTGGTAGGCTACACTTTTCAGAAACAAAACCCAAACAGTTTCAACACCCTCTTCAAAAAGGGGAACCCCAACGTATACTAGAAGTGAAACATTAAAAAGGATTCAGAAAATCTAACGATGACATTAATTAGGCAAAGGAAACAAATATAACCTTGATAGATGTCAAAATGGATTTTGATAAAATTCAAAATTCATTTCTCACAAAGCTATCCAATAAAAGAGGAATATAGGAATTCATCATTGATATAATTGGGTTCTATCAAAAATTAAGAATCATTATAATACTTAATGATATAACACTAGTAGAATTCTCATTAACATAATGAGCAAGTCAAGTATGTCCACTATTACGTTATGTAACAGTTTTACAGGTTCTAGCCAGCACAATAGAACAAGAAAAAGAAATTATGGCGTAAGCATTAGGATTATCATTATTTGTATAATGATACATCTCAACTCAAAACTGCCTACCTGGAAATACAATGAAACCAACTAAAAAGCTATTGGAACCAATATATAAATTTAGGTATTAAGTAAATACTCGATATTTAAATAATCAACAATAAATTCTTTAGAAAATGTAACAGAAAAAACATCTATCTAGAATAACAATAATAATAAACAATACAGGAATTAATAAAAAAACAGAAGATTTATAAGAAGAAACCTATTAAATTACTGAGCATACAGAGAACTTGAACAAATGAAGAAATACATAGTTCCTGAAAAGAGGACATTAAATATTGTAAATAAATTAATCCTCCTTAATTTAATATACAAATTTAAAGCAATCTCATTCAAATTCCCAGGAAGATTTGGGAGGGTGTTGCAGGGAAACACGCCTCCCTCTCAGTAATTACTTTTCCAACATGTCCATTTTCCTCGAAGCCCTATTTCTCCCCTCACTCGCAGCAGACTCACCTCACTTCCTATCTCACAGACAAGCCAGCAGAGCAGAGCTTACTCATCTCGCCAGTATCAAACATAGACACTTATCCAGTTCTTTTATTCTTTTTTTTTTTAAGATTTGTATTGGGAGAAGGGAACAGACAAGTTGCTGTCGTTTTGTTCTTCAGTCTAGTTGTGGAGGACGCNGCCCCAAAGTTCAGTTTTAAAGACTTGAATTTGAGGAACTAGTAGAATGCTTTGGTGAATGCAATTAGCTATACATATCTTTATTTGAAATTCAGGGGAAGGTCTGTCTGTGGTGAAGATATGTATTTGGGAGTTGGTGCTAGTTTAAACCACAAGAGTGGATGTGATTATCTCTAAGGAATGTATGTACAAAAGTGGACCAAGGGTGAAACCTCAGGGAAAACAAACATTTAGGATGCTTCCCTTAAGAGACTCCAATAAAGGCAAGTAATTGAGAAGTAGTTGTCAAAGAAGAGAATTTCGAAGAGAATGTGGTTAGTGTGAAACCCAGCAAAAATATCCAAGATGAAAACTGAAAAGATAAACTTTAAATTTGGCAATCAGATTGTTGCTCTGTAACACCTGTGAGAGCAGTTTCGGTGGAACAATGGAAGTTAAAATATCACAATGAGTTGCAGTGAGGAGTAGAAAGAGCAAGTGTAGATTACTGTTTAAAGAAATTATGATGAGAACCATAGGAAGAACACAGAGCTCTATCAAGAGAGTAACTTGTTTTTATAATTTTTAAAGGATGAAAAGGACTTGACAGGGAAGGTTGACAGGAAGAGCCTGCAGAGGAAGGAAGTGAAAATACAGGGCAGAGAGCAGATAAATGAGGGAGCCAGGTCTCATAATTCTGTTTCTGAGCATGTCCTCCTGGATAGCTCAAGGATATCTCAAATACCCAGTCTCAGAATGTACTCTGATCTTTCTCCTGCAACCTGACCATCTCAACACTGTTTTCAGTAAATGGCACTACCATGTAACCTGGTGCTTATGAAGCCTAGGACTCCTTGACCTCTCCGTTTTCTTTACTCCCCATATGTAATCCATCACCATTTCTACCCTTCAACACTTCTCAACTGTCAACTTCTTTTGCCATCATCGTTACCTTAGTTCAAGATACCATTATCTCTTCTGTACGATGGGTTCCAAATGGCCTCACTGTATCAGCAGAGATCTCTTTATTGCCCAAATACGATCATGTTACTTTGCTTAAAAATCCTTTCAGGGTTTTCTATCATCTACCTTTCAATCACCTATATGAATTCACCCTATGGCGATCTCTCTGTCCACTTCTCCTTGGTTCTTTCCACTCCAGCTCCACTGGCCCTGTCTCTTGGCATAGCCCTCTCCCATCTTGGGGTTTGACTCCTTCTCTTGTCTGAAATAGCACAGCACCAGAGAGGACTATGTTCTCCTACTGTTACCTCCTGAGTTCTCTGTCTTTCCTCTTTATTTTTTTTTAGAAGATTTTATTGGGGTAGGGAAACAGCGTTGGGGAATCGGGGAAGGGGAACAGACAAGTTGCTGTCCTTTTGTTCTTCAGTCTAGTTATGGAGGACGTTGTTTCACTGGCCCATGTTGGTATTATCATTGCGCTCTTCCTGGGTGAGACAGATAGGCTGCCGGCTTCTGGACGGCCGCTCATGGCGGCTCTTGGCAGCTCACGCTGGCTGCCTGCCACTCACGGTAGCTTATGGCAACCCACTGCAGCCTCACTGCAGCCTACGCCATCGCCGGTGACTCACGGCAGCCCAGCTCCAGGTCGAGCTGTTGTTCACCATCTTAGCTGTAGAGGGTGCAGNGAATATTACTTGACTATAAAAAAAGAATGTAATCTTACCATTTGCGACAACATGGATGGACCTAGAGGATGTTATGCTAAATGAAATAAGTCAGACAGAGAAAGGCAAATACCATATGATTTCACTTACATGTGAAATCTAAAGAACATATAAAACAGAAACAGACTTATAGATACAGAGAACAAACTGATGGTTGCCAGATGAAAGGGGGGCTGGGGGGCTGGGTGAAAAAGGTAAAAGGATCAAGAAGTACAAATTGGCAGTTACAGAACAGTCACCGGGATATAAAGTACAGCATAGGGAATATAGTAAATGATATGGTAATAACTATGTATAGTGCCAGGTGAGTCTAGACTTATGGGGGGATCACTTCGTAACTTATATAAATGTCTAACCACTATGCTGTACACCTGAAACTAACAAAAAATAATACTGAATGTCAACTGTAATTGAAAAATAAAAAAATAAAACTAAATATCCCTCTTGTTCACTAATGTTTCCTCAGTGCTTGGGACAAAGAAGCACTGAATGGCTGTTGAATGAGCAAAAGAATATGAAAACTAAGAAATACCAGATTAAACTATTTAAACTGTACTTTTCCAGGGTAGTTTTCTAGAACAAAACGATCCCTAGAAGTTAATACCAAAGAACTCCTAGCCTGTGGGCTGCTTAAACCGGTGCAGAAAAAATAGCTGAACTTGGCCTTCTCTTACTTAAGCTGGGTTTGATCCTACTTGCAAGTAACACTTCTACAATTACCACCAAACTGCAGTACGTCATGCTGAAAAATCTGTGCAAATGTATCACTATGAGAAAAAAAAAATGGAAAAGAGCACTGCTACTCTTTCATCTCAATATAAGAATATCTTTTAAAGGCTAGATTTGCGCTTCTGCTTTCTGTGATATAGGAAGGATTTTTCTTAAAGAATCTATCCCCAAGAAATAGTTACTAACCAGAAAGTTATCTTAATTATGAAGTATCAACCTGGCAAATGGCCAATAACCAAGGACCAGAATGTAGAAAAGCAGACCGTTTCCTCTGTCAGGCAATGCAAGTAACTCCTCTGCTTCTTAGGGAGCATCTCTCCATAAAGATTACACTTAGTCCAGTAGGCTTAGCCTAATTTAGATTTCTGGCTCCATTCTAAAACAGTGCTAAAGTAACTTCCAAGTAGAAAAAATCATGTTATTCTCTAGGCAAAATTTCAGATTCATTTTAGAATATATGAATACAGTAACTTTTGGACACATACACACACA